TCATCATCACCATCATCATCACCATCATCACCATCATCACCATCATCATCACCATCATCATCATTACCATCATCATCATCACCATCATCATCACCATCATCATCACCATCATCATCACCATCATCATCATCACCATCATCATCATCACCATCATCACCATCATCATCACCATCATCATCACCATCATCATCATCACCATCATCATCATCATCATCATCATCACCATCATCACCATCACCATCATCATCATCATCACCACCATCACCATCATCACCATCATCATCACCATCATCATCACCATCAGCATCATCATCATCACCATCATCATCATCATCACCATCATCATCACCATCATCATCATCATCATCACCATCATCATCACCATCATCATCACCATCATCATCATCACCATCATCATCACCATCAGCATCATCATCATCACCATCACCATCATCACCATCATCATCATCACCATCATCAGCATCAGCATCATCACCATCACCATCATCACCATCATCATCACCATCATCATCACCATCAGCATCAGCATCATCATCATCACCATCATCATCACCATCATCATCACCATCATCATCAGCATCATCACCATCATCATCATCATCATCACCATCACCATCATCATCACCATCCTCGGCAGGCCCCGCGGTTGAGGAGTGTCTGCCTGTGCGGCAGGCCGCGTCCGGGCCTCCGATGGAGCAGGGTGACGCCAGGCCCCACCTTGAGCAGGTTTTCACACAGGTCGTTGAAGTTCTTGTTGAGCACTTGGTTTGTCAGGTTCAGGCTGCTCAGTCGGATGACTCTTACGGACGTGAACATCTAAGTCCAGGAGACAAAACAACGTATTCTTTCTTTCTTTCTTATTTGTCAATTGTGGGGCCTGAACTCTGGGCCTGGGCGCTGTCCCTCAGCTCTTCAGCTCAAGGCTGGCGCTCTACCACTTGAGCCACAGCGCCACTTCCGGTTTTCTGGAGTCTCACAGACTTTCCTGCCCAGGCTGGCTTTGAACCACGATCCTCAGATCTCAGCCTGCTGAGTAGCTGGGATGGCAGGCGGGAGCCACCGCTCCACAGAGAGCGTGGCTGGCTCCCTGGAGTCTCACGGACTTTCCCACCCAGGTGAGTTGCAAACTTCAATCTTCACATCTCAGCTTCCTGCGTAGCCAGGATTGCATGAGCCACCTCTGTCCATTCGGTGGTCAAAAACAAAATATTGGGTTTGGAAGGGGCTCAGTGGTAGAGCGCTCGCCTTGCATGCATGAGGCCCTGGGTTCGATTCCTCAGCACCACATAAGCAGAAAAAGCCGGAAGTAGCGCTGTGGCTCAAGTGGTAGAGCGCCAGCCTTGAGCTGAAGAGCTGAGGGACAGCGCCCAGGCCCAGAGTGCAGGCCCCACAACCAACAATCAATACATCAATCAATGAATAATATCAACTTGCCTGGAATACTACCTAAAATAACTTCAAATGAATGAATACGGGGCTTACCTGTATTTCTGAGGTCCAGTTATTGATGCCAGGCATAATCTCTGTATTGCAACTATAAAAGCCTGCCCAAGAAAACAAAGGACAGAGAAATAGGTGATACAACATTTCATCAATTCCAGGATGAAGAAGCACACTCTTCACTCATCATCCCAAAGTCTAATTCTAAAAGGTTTTCATTATTTTCCCCCCACCCCAAAGTCCCGGGAGGTTCAGTGGACTTCAAACCATCCTAACCATTTACAGGTAGTTAATTTCCCTATATATAAATACACAGGACTTAAGATCTCTTCTACCCGAGGGGCAGAGTCGGGGATTTGAACTCAGGATCTATGCGGGCTGCTGAGCCAGGGCCCGGCCCTCATACAAATGTTCTCCGTCTTGTGGTCTGCAGCGTGCTGATGAATGAGACGTGTTTCTCCCGCCTACCTGGGGGCGGGGGCACGTCGGTGAGGAGCGAGTGCACATCTTCCATGGCATCCGTGTCGTCGATCTGAGAAGACCAATGAACGAGCACTGCTACAGAGCGCTCAGTGCTGCCACCTAGCGCCTGCTGCCCGCAGGATGCACCAAGCACAAAAGTCAAGAGAAAAAAACAGAGCCAGACGCCCAGGGCTCACAACCGTCATCTCAGCTGCGCAGGAGGCTGAGATCTGAGGATCACGGTTCAAAACCAGCCCAGGCAGGCAAGTCCATGAAGACTCTTATCTCTCATGAACCACCAGAAAACCAGAAGTGGAGCTGTAGCTCAAAGTGGTAGAGCGCCAGCCTTAAGCCCCAGAACTGGCAAAAAAGAAAAAGCTGGTCATCATTACAGTGGTATATTCAATTCATACTTACATTCACCCAAGGCTTACGAAAGTAGCCCATGTCTGCTGCATATACGTTTGAGCATCCTTTATCCACCATGCTTAGACGCGGGACCATTTCTGATTTCAGAGTTTTGCACATGAGGTATGTTCCATAAACCGCACATCCCTGAACCTTAACTCCAAAAACTGAATATTCGTTCCTACATCTCCAATTTTCCAAGTAAAATGTTGAACTTAGTTCAGATTTTGGACCTTTTGTTTTCTGGTGTCAGTACCAAGTCTTGAACTCAGGGCCTCTCGCTTGCCAGCATTTTGCCGGTTATTTGAAAGTAAGAGTCTCTCAGACTTTGCTGCACAGGTCAGCTTTGAATTCCAATCCTCCCAGCTGAGTAGCCAGGATTACAGGCATGAGCCAAGTACTGAGCTGGACTTTTTGATTAGAGATGCACTACTTGTATTTTAGCGATGTTCCAACCCCTGAACTAATTCTCAGAAGTATCTAACCTTCCCATATATCAGATGCCAAATTGTGACATTTGCAAGTGTGTTTGGTTTCTACACTTAGGTTTTTTCTGATTTTTGTTCTTTTTCTTATTGTTAGTAGTGGGGCTTGAACGCGGGGTCTGGACGCTGTCCCTGAGCTTCTGTTGCTCAAGGTGAGCGCTCTACCACTTGAGACACAGTGCCACTTCTGGTTTTCTGGTGGAAATAAGAATCTCACAGACTTTCCTGCCCCCGTTGGCTTTGATCCATGATCCTCAGATCTCAGCCTCCTGAGTAGCTGGGATGACAGAGGTAAGCTACCGGTGGTGTCTAGCTTCTGGTACTTGTTTTTAATAGTTGCAATAATCCAAAAAACGATCACTTTGGTTTTAAGACCTGACTGTAAAAACTGTAAGAAGGTGCACCTGTGGCAGAATTTACCTCCAAAACAAAAGCATCTTTCTTCCCGTGGGAGAGATCTAATTCTGCGGCCTCATCGGAACTTTCCGACTGTGATCTCAGAAGTCGGGAGCGCTGTCTGGGCTCTGGGATGGGTGATCCTACAACCTCTTCCACCACTTCCTGGAAGAAAGAATGTTTGGTATCATGAGACTGGTGGGTCTGGAGTTTTGTTGTTGTTTTCAGTTCCGTTTTAAATGTCTAGGTAACTTCTGGCAGAGATGAGTGAACTAAATCTCATATTCAATTAACTAAATCTCAGTAGAGGGGCTGGGAAGGTGGCTCAGTGGTAGAGTGCTTGCCTTGTGTGCATGAGGCCCTGGGTTCAATTCCTCAGCATCACACAAGCAGAAAAAGCCAGAAGTGGCGCTGTGGCTCAAGTGGTAGAGCGCTAGCCTTGAGCTGAAGAGCTGAGGGACAGCGCCCAGGCCCAGAGTTCAAGCCCCACGACTGACAAAAACAAAAATAAATAAAATAAAAAAATAAATCTCAGTGGAATCTCTGTGCTGACATGACACTGAATAAATGAACTCCGTTATATAGCTATATAGGTGGGTTTTCTACTAAACATTTTATTTTTCTACTTAAGCATTTTAACTCTCCCTCCTCCCCTTCAAAAACAAGGCTTGAAGATTTATGGATAGCATGTTCTAACCTGCTGGTAATTTTTGAAGTTCCACAATGAAAATGTGAAGAGTAAGAAACATCTGGACACACGCGCGCGCGTGTGCACGCACACACACACACACACGCACACACACAGGACGCATGAATTTGCTGTGACATGTAGCAGGCTACGTAAACTTTAACAATGACCTTCTAAAAAAGGCATCATGGCTCATGCCTATAATCTTGGCCACTTCAGAGGCTCAGTTCTGAGGCTCAAGGTTCAAAGCCAGCTTGAGCAAGTGAGTCTGTAAGACTCATCTCCAGTTAACCACCAAAAAGCTGGACTCAAGGGGTAGAGCACCAACCTTGAGGGAAAATGTAATGGTCAGGACCAAGGTCTTGAATTCCAACCCTGAGCTGATGTGTGCACAGCGCTGGTGCATCCTGACACCTGAGCTGAGGTGTGCACAGCGCTGGTGCATCCTGACACGTGGGCTGGGTACAGCACATGAGCTCTCGTCCTCACGGCCCGGGCTGCAGGCCAGGGGCGGGGTGTACTTGCCGGTGGGCTGATCTCGTACAGCTCCTTGTTCTTGGCGATGGTGTCGTTGATCTTCCTCTGCATGTGGGAAACGTGCTGTTCGTAGGAGCCGTCGCCCGGGGTCTTGCCAGCGATCTGAATGCCACCTGGCATGGGCAGCGCTGCCAGGTACACGCCTGTGGCCGACTTGTGGAGTAAGGGGCAACCGTCAGACAAAGCATTCGAGGAACAAGCTTTGCAAGTTTTCAGCTAGGTCTCTTTCTGGGGAAAGGGCGGAAGAGTCTGTGCGTGCATGGAACATTTCCGGAAGGAAACACACACACACACACACACACACACACACACACACACACACCTCCTAGAGTAAGGCGTGGGCTTCCTCTAAGGGAGGGCTCTAGGTGAAGAGGGGACCGTTAGGAAGAGGGAACTGGTTTTTCCCTACAGACCCAATTCTCTTTTAAAGTTTTTCATCTTACAATTGTGAAAAATAACTTGACAATAAATAAAAAAATTAACTCAAGCCCAGCACTGGTGGCACTGGTGGCTCACGCCTGTCATCCCAGCTACTCAGGAGGCTGAGATCTGAGGATCGCAGTTCAAAGCCAGCCTGAGCAGGAAAGTCCCTGAGATCCTTATCGCCAATGAACCACCAGAAAACCAGAAGTAGTGCAGTGGCTCAAGCTAGCCTTGAACAAAAGCACTCAGGGACAGTGCCCAGGCCCTGGGTTCAAGCCCTACCCCATGACTGACCTCCTCCTGCTCAAAAAACATATGTATATGTATATACACACACACACACACACACACACACACACACACACACATAGAGAAAATATATATATATCTGGGAAGCCTGGCTGGGTGCTGGTGGCTCACGCCTATAATCCTGGCTGCTCTGGAGGCTGAGATCTGAGGCTCCTGGTTCAAAACCAGCCCAGGCAGACAAAAAAATCTGTGAGATTTTCATCTCCAAGTAACCACTAAAGAACTGGGAATGCTGTGGCTCAAAGGTCAAGTACCAACCTTGAGCAACAAAGCTAAGAGACAGTGCCTAGGCCCTGAATTCAGGTCCAGCATTGGTACAAAAACAAACAAAGAAACAAAGGGGAACCTGTTACAACCACAGAAATCGCAAAACGACCTCCCGAACTTCTAACCTTACCGCTAAACCCATCACCATATTTTCCCCCACGGTGATCTGAATCCTCAGGCCGAACAAGGCGTTCATGCCCTTGAGCTTCAGCTTGTTCATCAGCTGGGTGTGCAGCTCGTACTCCATGAACGGAAGGAGGTTGCTGATGGCCGTGGCGTTCGTTTCTGCCTGGGCTTTCTTTTTCAAGCGACACAACCTGCGAAGAAGAGTCCGGTCAGTGCACAGAGTCCTTGTGACCTCTAGACAAAGGCAAATAGAGACACGATTTTAAAAGGCACACACCAGTGGCTCACGCTTATACTCCCAGCTACTCAGGAGGCTGAGATCTGAGGATCGTGATTCGAGGCCAGCCCAGGGAAGGAAAAACTCTTATCCCCCATGAAGTACCAAAAAAGCCAGAGATGAAAATCTCACTGTGGCTCAAGTGGTTGTACACTAGCCTTGAGTACACAGATCAGGGACAGCACCCGGGCCTTCAGTTTAAGTCCCAGGAATGGAAAAAAATACTAAGCAAAAAGAATTTTTTTCCAGCATGGGGCTTGAACTCAGGACCTGGGCGCTGTCCCTGAGCTGTTTTGCTCAAGGCTGGCACTCTACCATTTGAACCACAGCGCCACTTCCGGTTGCCTGGTGGTTCCTTGGAGATAAGAGTCTTTTGAAAGTTCCTGCCCAGGTTGGCCTCAAACCACGATCCTCAGATTTCAGCCTCCTGAGTGGCTGGGATGACAGGCGGGAGCCACCAGCACCCGGCTCGATCATTCAAAAGGATTTCAACGCAGGTTGATGGCTCCCTAAGTCTTAACTTTTGAAGCTGACCCAGAGGGGTTCGGGCACAGACCTGGCTTGAATCAGACAGCCCTTCCCGACCACCGCGGCCTGTGCGGGGAGGTCGATGGTGGTGAGCAGGACGTCGGGCACCTTCTGCCGGCGGCAGCAGCAGCACAGCGCCAGGTGCGCGGGGAACGGCGTGTTCACCTCATCGTAAGGGGTGTGGCAGAATCCACAGCCGGGGGGCTGGCTTTCTCCCAGCCTGCGGGGACACAGGGAGACCGTGAGAAAGGCACTCTGTTCGGGGATGAACCCGTGCTCACACGTGCACACACACACATGCGTGCACACGCACACACACACACACAAGCACAACATCCTTGAAAGATCTGTGCACTTTTCCAAAATAAGTATTATGCTCGTAGTAGTTAGTGTACAGATGACGCAACGTCGGAGCTGCATGGGCGAGAATAACAAAATGATTTGTAGGAAGTGCTGAACGGCCAGGGAATCCGAGCCACCCCCCGTTCCACAGAAGCCTTATAGAAGGAGGCTGCCAGCAAGCACAGGCTCACATCTGTGATCCTGGCTACTCAGGAGGCTGAGATTTGAGGATCATGATCCGGAACCCAACTGTGAAACTCTTTGTTTCCAATTAAACGGCAAAAAATGTACTGGAGGTGTGGCTCAGGCAGTAGAGCACCAGCTGGGAATGAAAAAGTCAAGCAAAAAAAAGCAAGACCCTGAGTTCAAATCCCTGTGCCGGCGCACGCACACATGTGCACGCGCACGCGCGCACACACGCACGCACACAGACACACAAAAAACAAAATCTTACTATATTCTGAAGGCTTTCTGGAATGATCTGTAAACCTTTAAATATTAACAAACGAAGGATCTAAACAAGGTGGTCTCGTCATTATTAGAGCCAGAATATCTCCCTTATTATAGAAAGACTTGCAGGGCTAGGCTGTGGCTCAGGGGCAAAGCACTTGCCTAGCAATTGCAAGGTCCTGGGTTCGATCCCCAGTACCACAAAAAGAAAAGACAAAAAAAAAAACTTTTAAAAACAAGACTTGAAAGTGTTGGGTTTTTTTTAAACCTTATTCCTTAATTTATACTAAATCTATTAATACAAACATTGTTTGGGGTTTCTTTTGGTGCTGGATCTGGTGCTTGAACTCAGAACCTGGGTGCTGTCCTTGAGCTTTTGTGCTCACAGCTGGTGCTCTACCCCTTGAGCCACAGTGCCACTTCCGGCTTTCTGGAGGTCCATTGGCTCTGGTAAGAGTCTCACAGACTTTTCCTGCCTGGTTTTTCCTGGGCTGGCTTTGAACCACAATCCTCAGATCCCAGGTTCCTGAGTAGCTGGGATGACAGGCGTGAGCCACCCGTACATATTAAGCTTAATACACAGTGTGACATAAAGAAGATCTGGGCTTATTTAATCCAGGTAGTGTCGGATATCAAACCAAGAGTCTCCATGAATGCATGTGTATATACACATATCTACGTATATAATTTCCTATCTGTATGGGAAGTATATATATGTATATATGTATGGATATTGCATACATACACGTGCAAATACACATACACACTATGTAAACATATACCTTAGACATATGCTTGTAGAAAGCATTTTGCACTTTCAGAGAAGCTCACAGTTTACAAGTATACAGGGAGTGTTCATCATATTAAGCTCCTTTACCTAATGCTTCCTGTTTTGTTCTAGCTCACACTAATCAAATCACTGGGCAGATTTCTTGGAGAGGTGAGCACCCTTCTTGGTGAGCACAGCCCCGGGACCTCGTTCTGTCTTTGTAGGTGAGACCCAGACAGAAGAGAAGCTAAGGGCTGGGCAGGTGGCCTAGTGGTAGAGCGCTCGCCTCGTATGCACGAAGCCCTGGGTTCGAGTCCTCAGTGCCACATACACAGAAAAAACTGGAAGTGGCGCTGTGGTTCAAGTGGTAGAGCGCCAGCCTTGAGCAAAAGAAGCTCAGGGACAGCGTCCAGGCCCTGAGTTCAAGACCCAGGTCTGGCCAAAGGAAAAAAAAAAGGGGGGGGGAGCAGAGAGAAGCTAAATTCAGCGCATGCGCTCTCCACTTTGACAAAGCGACAGGGCGCCTCCCCGGCAGCGTCCTCGTCATTTGTGAGGACGCCACACACCCGCGCGGGGTACGCTGCAGGACCCCTGGGGGACCTTGGTTTTTAACCAAGAGTGGCACACCAGTCCACTGCAAGCCCTGCTTCTAGAAGCATCGTGAGTGCTGGGCGGGGACTACCTCTGCTCCAGGCAGCCCTCCAGCACGCCGTCCTGCAGGAAGCGAGGGTTCAGCACGGCCGCGGTGCCCGAGGCGGACAGGATGCACACTTCCTCACTACGAGAGAAACACGCGGGCGTGTCAGCGCTCCCTGCGGGCCCCACGGATCACCCAGCGCGACCGCAAGACCGACCAGTGAGACTCAAGGTGACCCAGCAGCACGGGACACACGTGATCACCTCCTGGATGTTAGGTGGAGAGGAGAAGCCACGGGCTGGGCAGGTGGCTCAGTGGTAGAGCGCTCGCCTCACATGCATGAGGCCCTGGGTTCGATTCCTCAGCACCACAGACACAGAAAAAGCCAGAAGTGGCGCTGTGGCTCAAGTGGTAGAGCACTAAGCCTTGAGCTGAAGAGCTCAGGGACAGTGCCCAGGTGGAGTTCAAGCCCCAGGACTGGCCAAAAAAAAAAAAAAGAGAGAAAAGAGAAGAAAAGTCATATAAGCTCAGTAACATGGAGAGAGCCAGAATTCTTTACAAGTTGTAAATTACCCAGAAAAAACAAAATTATAACATTAATAGATGCTTGAAAGATCAAAATGTTTCAGACTATAAGCAATAACCAATGATAGTGCTGATCTCAATAATAATCTATTAAACTGTATGCACATTTTCTTGAACATGCTTATTCACATTATTCTAAGAGCATAACTGTACATACTCACATTGTTAGAGATGAATCTACACTGGAATAAAGCTGTCTAAAACACTATCACAGCTGGGTGCTGGTAGCTTACATCTATAACCCTAGCCACTCAGGAGGCTGAGATCTGAGGATTGCAGTTCCAAAGAAAGTAGAGCTGTGGCTCAAATGGTACAGCATTTAAGCCTTGAGCACAAAAAAGCTCAGGGACAGTGCCCAGGCCTAGTTCAAGCCCCAGGACCAGCACAAAAAAAAAAAAAAAAAAAGGAAGAAAGAAAGAAAAAAAGGAAGAAAAAAACAATATCCAAAATGTCCCACTGGAAGAGGTGAGCTCAGTCCCAAAGCTGGAATAAAACCGGCTTAGTCAACATTTGTTATTTAAGGCCTTCCAAGCCTGATGCCAGTGGCTCCCACCTGTCATCCCAGCTACTCAGGAGGCTGAGATCTGAGGATCGTGGTTGGAAGCCAGCCCAGGCAGAAAAGTTCATGAAATGCTTATGGGCAATAAACTACTTAGAAAAATACTGGAGTGGAGCTGTGGCTCAAAGTGGTAGAGCTCTAGCCTTGAGCACAAAGAGGCTCAGGGACAGCACCCAGGCCCTGAGTTCAAGCCCCAGGACGGGCAAAGAAGTTTTTTTTAAAGGCCAAGCTGGTATATGTCCATTTTATGTATGTATGTATATATGTATGTATCTATCTATCTATGCATGTGTGTCTATGTGTGTGTGTGCTGGTCCTCAGACTTGAACTCAGGGCCTGGTCACTGTCCTTGAACTTTTGTGCTTAAGGCTGACACTCTACCACTTTGCGCCACGGCTCGGCTCCACTTCTGACTTTCTGGTGGTTCACTGGAGATCAGAGTCTCATGGACTTTCCTGCCCAGGCTGGCTTTGAACCACGATCCTCAGATCTCAGCCTCCCGAGTAGCCAGGCTTACAGGTGTGAGCCATTGTGCCCAGATTTCTGTCCATTACCAAGTGAGACTCTCAGAGAAGCTGACACTTCCCAGACTTTGCAGTGACCAAGACAGACTCTGCTGGAGGTGCTTCGAGCCTGCACCCCGCATGATCCCGCACATCTTCGCTTCTGCGGGACGCCACGGCCACTCACCAGATGCTGGTTGACTCGCTGTAGCCCACCACGGCGTGACAGCCTAATGCCTTCGCGTGGGATTTGATTTCCTGTCTGATTTCTGCCCACCAGGCGTCTCGAGTTTCCGGTTCGTCTGAAAGATACAAGTTTAAATCAGCTGACTTACCCGATCTCCCAGGAGGTAGTGGCTCAAGCTGTGTTGAAAATCAACGGGAGCCAGGAGAGGAATGGGGGGGTGGGGGGCGGTAGCACGGGTTTGAAATGCAACATGAACCACCACAGCTTCAAAATAAAAACTCGACTTTCTCAGCGAGGGAATGAAGATGTTCGCCGTGTTCCAACTTCTCGAAAGCATCGAGACATGTTGAACCGGCTAGAAAACGAACTGCTCAGTTTGACTGCGGGGATTTGTATGGGAGGTGTTTTCTTACGATACCCTGGACCTTCTGGTTCTAATCTTCAATGATTGCTCTACCGGTCACCATGTGCTGAGGGTCCGTAAATGAAAGAAAAATCCTCACTTCATTTTCTGGCACCTGTAATTTTTGTTTTCCCTAATAATCCTCTATGTGCTGCAGATAAATCTTTCCATGGCAAAGACTTACCAAGGTTTATTTAAAAAAAAAAAAAAAGCAAGCTAAATATAGCTACCCTTTCTATAGAGATGCAGGTCCTAAGAAAAACGGACTTAAAAAAAAAAAAAAGGAAGAAGACTGGCCAATTAGGAAAAAGAAAAAGCAAATCATTAAAGAGATTAAATAGAGATAATCTGGCTCATGCAAAGGATACATTTCAGATGCAATGGTGTCAACTCTGTGTTTGGCTCTGTACCAATTGAAAGTGGCGTGGACCGGTAGCGTGGGGTGTGTCTATAGTCCCAGCTCACCAGGAGGCTGAGGTAGGAAGACCCCTTGAGCCCACCAGTTCTAAGACCAGTCTGAGCAACACAAGGAGACCTCATCTCAACAGCTACAGCTAAAAAGCTCGGGGCGGGGAGAAGGGTGGGGTACAGCTCAGACAGAACGCATCTGTCTAGCATGCAGAGGCTGGGTTCAATCCCTGGTACTACCCCCCCCCAAAAAAAAAGAGGCCTAGAAGCTCAGGATTATACGTCATTAGCAAGGGCATTCTTGAGTTCATGGCCACTTCCGTACGGGCAGCTGGGAATTACAACTAGAACTATATATGTATTATATATTGTAATTGTGTATAATTATGTATTATGCTACAATTAGTATACCCTGATCTGTTTCTTTGGGGCAGGGTCCCTCCCCGGAATCTGGGAGTCATTTGTAACAACTCTAACAAGGGTGCTAAGCTCTTACTCTAAGTTTTCCAAATAAAACTAAAAAAAGCCTAGCACAGGTGGCTCACGCCTGTCATCCTAGTTACTCAGGAGGCTGAGATCTGAGGATCACGGTTCAAAGCCAGCCCAGGCAGGAAAGTCTGTGACACTCCGATCTCCAATGAACCACCAGAAAACCGGAAGTGGTGCTGTGGCTCAAGTGGTAGAGCGCCTTGAGCTGAAGAGCTGAGGGACTTACGGTTCAGAGAAAACGGAAACCACAAGGAGTAACAGAGAAAATGCTGGTTTCCCTGAGGGGCAGGTTGGCTTTCCTCAACTGTATTCTTTTTTTTGGGGGGGGGTCTTTTCTTTTGTGGTACTGGGGATCAAACCCAGCATGAAGTTGCTAGGCAAGCGCTTGGCTACTGAGCTATCACCCAGCCTTGCTACTTACTTTTTTAAACCATTCTAGACAGCATTGTTTTCTAAAGGCAATAATCACCCGCTACCACTAAAATGACACTTTTCCTTTTCACATTGGGTTAGCCTACCTCTGTACATAGAAGCACTATCTGTTGTTGTATTTTTAAAAGGAGCTTTTTAGAAAGTAAACCCATTACCATTCATTTTTAAATCAGTAGAAAAAAAAAATAACCCACCACCACCACCACCCAGGAGGTTTCTTAAGTTCCAAGTAGGCTTAGTTAGAAACAACTTAGTTATAAAATAAGGATTTATTCAGCATGTCGAAGTGGAAACACACGCAGTCCATCAACCTGGTGAGATACGGTCATCGCATGGAAAACAAGGATAGCATCCCGGATAACTTACCTTGAATGCCCCCCGACCCCAGCAAAAGCAATCAGATCATTAAACCGAATACCATGACACAAGAGGAGGCGGATTGAAAAACAAAAAGAAAACAGAAACAAAACAAACAAGCTGAATGCAGGGCGGCTGGGGAGGAGAGAGAGAAAAAAGAGAGAGAGAGAGAGAGAGAGCGCACGTCCATGTCTTCTGACACACTCGCAAGCAGCTTTGGTTTGCACGCGTGAGCAACACAACTGCGCGTGGAGGGAGCTGGTATGAACTTACACCGAGTCTTATTTACAGCGTGGAGAGGAAGCTTCGAGGAGTTAGGGGACAGGGGAGGCTGGGGAGGAGTGTGGCACCGGGGAGCCGGTTTGGGTTTGGGGGTGAAGGGGGGGGGAAGGCCACAGCAGCAGCTCAGAGGACACGCAGGTGTGCAAAGCGGCCAGCATCCGGGGCGGGGGGGGGGGG